AGTATATGGGATTTTTATTAACCAATGAAAAACTGACCTGGTCATGAAATACGTGTCCACAGTCTAAAGTCCTGGTCTTCTGTTCGCGTAAACTACCAATACATATAGGACATTCTTCCTCTCTGTATTCCACATTGTTCTATCATAGAAATGCAAAATCATTTATTAAAGTGAAGCAGTTGTCACACCATATTTTGTTTGTTGTATGGAATTCAAACCCGAGGTGTGCAAAAACTGTGGTGTTTAAAGTTACTACAGAGGTGTGGGTCCCATGTATGAAATTTAAACCTGAGCTGTGCAACAATTGTGTTTTTTTTAATTTTTTTTTTGTGCCAAGCGACAGTTCCGGACTGAGTGTCACTGTTGTTCTCCTGACTTTTTTTTTGTATGAACAAATTGCAAATGCTAGTGCTGACACACAGTGCATTTTTCCACAGAAGTCATATTCATGTTTGGGACTACATGACAGGGCTGTGTGGCCATCTTCCTATCAAATGGCAATTTTAATGCGCTATCCTGGCGTCAACCAGGCTTGGTCAAACACAAGCACCTGTGGACCTTAACAGAGGTTCCCCCAAAGTCGCATTCGTTAGTGAATGAATCTGACCAGTGGAATTGAGTCTGTGGCACACTCACCCAGGGTAGGGGTCGACCTTTTTGATGTTCAGCCTAAGGTAGGATTTGAACTTGGGTCTACCTGCCATGAGTCTGATGCAACAACCACGAGGCTTTCAGTGACCGCTTAAAGTTACCATCACATGCAAACACAAAAGCAAATCATTTGCAAATAAACAATATATTAAAATAATCAAAATACAATAAATTTTCCCACTCAAATTTTAGTGCTACATTTTGAAAGTTTAATCTTTATTGTTAATATTGGACATAATGTCGAAATGGCGACAGGGCTTGATCAAAATGTTTAGATTATGGCAAACAATTATGCACCTATATATTTCGTGACAATTGACATTCAAAGGTCAAAAGGTAAAGTTCAGAAGTCAGATCAAAAGGTCAACAGTTGAAGGTCACAATATATGTTTGAATAACTGTCCTGTATCAGACTACCTGGCAATGGATATATTTTCAGACAACAGAAATGTTGAAGAAACAAATTTTACGACAATGGAAATGTGCAGCCTTTAGAGAACAAATGAAAGAGCCAAAATGTGACCTTGACACAAAGAAACCAATAAAAGTACTGATGGAAGTATTGAGATACGTGATCTTCAGGTGCACAAGTGTGAACCAATGGAAGTATCGGGATGTGTAATCATTGTGTAAAGGAACCAATAAAAGTACCAGAATGTGTGACCTTTATGTAAGGAACCAATAAAAAGTGCCAGGATGTGTGACCTTTAAGTAAAGGATGTGTGACCTTTAAGTAAAGGAACCAATAAAAGTACCAGGATGTGTGACCTTTATGTTAAAGAACCAATAAAAGTACCAGGATGTGTGACCTTTATGTAAAGGAACCAATAAAAGTACCAGGATGTGTGACCTTTATGTTAAAGAACCAATAAAAGTACCAGGATGTGTGACCTTTATGTTAAAGAACCAATAAAAGTACCAGGATGTGTGACCTTTATGTAAGGAACCAATAAAAGTGCCAGGATGTGTGACCTTTATGTAAAAGAACCAATAAAAGTGCCAGGATGTGTGACCTTTAAGTAAAGGAACCAATAAAAGTACCAGGATGTGTGACCTTTAAGTAAAGGAACCAATAAAAGTACCAGGATGTGTGACCTTTATGTTAAAGAACCAATAAAAGTACCAGGATGTGTGACCTTTATGTAAAGGAACCAATAAAAGTACCAGGATGTGTGACCTTTATGTAAAGGAACCAATAAAAGTACCAGGATGTGTGACCTTTATGTTAAAGAACCAATAAAAGTGCCAGGATGTGTGACCTTTATGTAAAGGAACCAATAAAAGTACCAGGATGTGTGACCTTTATGTTAAAGAACCAATAAAAGTGCGAGGATGTGTGACCTTTATGTAAAGGAACCAATAAAAGTACCAGGATGTGTGACCTTTATGTTAAAGAACCAATAAAAGTGCGAGGATGTGTGACCTTTATGTAAAGAACCCAATAAAAGTGCCAGGATGTGTGACCTTTATGTAAAGAACCCAATAAAAGTGCCAGGATGTGTGACCTTTATGTAAAGGAACCAATAAAAGTGCCAGGATGTGTGACCTTTATGTAAAAGAACCAATAAAAGTACGAGGATGTGTGACCTTTATGTAAAGGAACCAATAAAAGCACCAGCATGTGTGACCATTATGTAAAAGCACCAATAAAAGTACCAGAATGTGTTACCTTTAAGAAAAGGAACCAATAAAAGTACCAGGATGTGTGACCTTTATGTAAAAGAACCAATAAAAGTACCAGGATGTGTGACCTTTATGTAAAAGAGCCAATAAAAGTACCAGGATGTGTGACCTTCAATAATGGCTACACACAAGACAAAATGACAGTTTCAGGAAGTGTGACCTTTATAAAATAATTTCGATAATACGATTGAAACTCACCGGTTTAATCTGGTTTGTGATACCACTGCCAGGCATCCTGCTTCTTCTGCGTACCTCAGCACTGCTCATTAGATGGGTCACTTCCTGTATGATTGTAGCCATGTGTAAACCGCACATAGAGCCGCCATGTGACTGTCGCACTTTTTTAATGTATGGGCTTAGTTCCTCACTGAAAACAAACATAGTATAACTTACATCAACATTGTCATTGTCACATGACATGTTGAACAAAAAGTTCAATGTAGGATAAAAAACTTAATTCCTTTAGTTTTTTCCCCAAACACCCCTACCCCCCACTGAAACTTAATTGATAAATATTGATCATGGCGTCAGACTACATTCACCATTAAATACAAATTGAAAATCGAACAGTTGTATGGCATAGCAGTTCATTTGACGCACATTTTATGTTATTTTTGTCCATGATTGGATAGAAACTTTTTGAGGTCAAACCCCCCACCCCCAAACTAAAGAAAATAATTTTTTTATTCGACATCGAACTTTTGACGTTGTTCCTAACTACTTTAAAATTATCATTTGAGAATCAAGATATTAAATGACACATTTTATATTGATTGATAAGATTTCCAAAACGTATCAAAATTAGCCCCGAACTCGAGATAATGAACTCATGAATTATTATGCAAATATTTTAACCCAAACTGATGAAGTCTGCATTGTCCTATAATATGAGGTTATTATGAGGATACCGAAAAAGTATGCACGAAGACAATACAGGGGAAGTATCAACCGACACGCAGCAACAGCATACTGACTGAGTGCATACATTGCG